TGCCTGCTCATCTTAGCTGCTATGATGCCTGACAGGAGCTTCCATGTTGTGCAGAGGCAGGTTATTGGGCGGTAGTTGGGTGGTACTGCTCCCTTCTGAGGGTCCTTCAGGATCAGCACTGTCCGGCGTTCAGTTAACCACTCAGGGTGGGTCCCATCCATTAGTAGCTGGTTCATTTGTCCCGCCAGGCGCTCATGGAGTGAAGTTAGCTTCTTTAACCAGTAGGCGTGGTCATGTCAGGGCCTGGTGCTGTCCAGCTCTTCATACTTGAGACCCTCTCTTGAATGTCTGCCATTGTGATGGTTACTGGGTCTTGTTCAGGGAGGTTGCTGTGGTCTGCTCTCAGGTCTACCAGCCATTGGGCATTAGTGCTATTGTATGCCTCTTTCTCCCATATGCCCTTCAGAATTGTTCATCCTCCAGCCTTGGTGGGTCTGCTCTCATGTTATTACACTGCCACTGAGAGTACACCTCGGATGGCTCAGTGGAGAACTCTCCCGGCTTCAACTTCTCTGGTGTACCTCTTCAACCGGGTGGCCAGGGCTGTGAGCCTTTGCTTGGCAGTCTCTAAGGCCTCAAGTATGGACAATGTGTTGTACTTCTTAGGTACCCCTTTCTTCATCACACCTTTCTGCAATTCTGATAGCTAGCTAACTTCTCTCCTTGCTGCCTTGATCTTAGTTTCCAACCTCCTTCTCCATGGAGGATACTGCTCCTTATGGTCTTTGTTGAACTTATAGCCAAGCATCTCAAGGATGACAGTTGCTGTGGTGTATTTGAGCTTGTTGGTTTCAGTGATGGTCGTAATAGGGATTATTCTTAGTTTAATCCCTTAGTTCTTAGTTAGATTATTCACATCCTCTAGTAGACTTTCAGAAGGCACTTTATATTTAGTCTTGGTAACCAGCCACAGAGGTTCCTGGTGTCTATCTTGCTCATGATCTTCAATCTCAGGTCAGCTGCTCTTGAATTAAGCTCAAAAAGGCTTGTTATTGGGGCTTAGTACCCAATCTCTGAATGTGGGGGTGATGATGATATCTCCCCCCTGACCTGGCATCCTGGCTCCCCCTTGCTGGAGCATTCGAGTTGTACCTTGTCAATCTCTAGGTGTGATAGCAGGTGCTTCTTGTGAATGTTAGAGCACTGAGCTACTAGTTGTTTTGATGTTAGTCTAGATGTTGTGTTTCGAAGTATCCATAGGTCCCACATCCTCCATATGTAACCCCTCTCGCTGGGGTTACTTGTATAGTAGCATTCCAATAGTTACCTGTTCTCATCTCTTGTCCATGATTGTCCTGTTCCAGTAGCCCACTTCCTCCACAGGTTGCCCTGGTTCATCAACACCTGACGCGGACGTTGTCAACCTGGGCGACGTCCGAGCCGGTGTGACTCTTATTTTTCCAACTCTCATTACCCATGAGGGAGGCAGGTAGCATTAAGGGCCTTGCCTAGGCTGGATATTGACCGTGCCCTGACCAGGATATATATATGTATATATACTGTAGATTTTTATATA